ACAATTTGTCAATGAAATTACCTGACCATGGAGATTTCTTTTACTGAATCTTTTAAAGTATGAATCCAACTTCAGTAGTTGTGAGAACCAATTCTCTAAGGTCTTGTGCATGATTGGCACCTTCTCCCCACTGGGTTACAGCTGTAGCCAGTTCACACTCTGCTCCTTTCCTATATCTTTGTCCCTGTCTGCCTGCCTGTCCCCTCCTTCCCTCCCTTCTTTCCTCTTTTTTGTGGGGGAGGGAGCAGGGTCTTTAGAGACAGGGTTTCCCTGGAGCCCCAGCTGGCCTGGAACTCACTATGTAGACCAGGTGGGCCTCAGATTCACAGAGATTTGCCTGCCTCTGCCTCCAGAGTGCTGGGATTAAAGGCATGTGCCACTATGCCTGGCCCTCCTCTTTTCTAAGACAGGTCTCACATGTAGCCCAGGACAGCTACAAATTTGTTATTCTCCTGCCTCATCCTCCTGGGTACAGAGGCATGAACCACCACAATCCATTTCTTCATATATGAATTATTAGTTAACTTTCTCCTTGTTGTGACAAATACCCCACAGAAACAACTTAAGGGAGGAAGGACTTATTTTGGTTTAGTTTCAGAAAGCCTCCATCCATCAGGCTGGAAACAGCATCAGTAGGGCAGTTCAGTCATTGTGCAGCAGTGTGTGGCAGAGACTTGTTCATGTGGCAGAGGATGGGAAGGGAGTGTAGGCAGGAACCAGGGCAGGTGTAACATTCAAAGGCTTGCCCCTGGTGATCTACTTCTACCAGGTCCTACCGCCTAAAGGCTTCACGGCCTTCAAATAGCACAAGCTGGGAACTGAACACTCAAAACATGAGCCTATGCTGCAAGCAGTTGGGACTCAAACACCTGATGGGGAGTACTTTCAGCATCTCCCCATCCCAGCCCACCCACCTTCTGGCTACCTTCTGGCTTTTCTAGCACCCTTGAAATTACAGACCTTCCCATGCTAGTCCTACAGGAAGATGCACCTAAAAAAAAGAGTATGGCAGAACTGGGGACTCATTCATGATGAAGGTTCCCATGGCTAAAGTGAAGGGAGAACAGGAAAGCTGATTGTTTATAGATCAATTCATCAACAGATCAGTTGGTAGCTAAATGAGAGATGGATGAGGTGTAAGATTATTAACTCATTTTTGGAGAAATTAGTTCATGGTACTGAAATTATGCTTTGATCACTTATTTGTGGTGAACATGTCCTATGAGGATAAAATTTTGGCAGAAGATTGAGGGCTTGGTTTTAGTTATCCGTCACTTGGGAAGAATAAAACTTTACTACCTGGGGTGATTTAAATGAGAAATGTCCCCCATAGGCTCAAGTATTTGAACACTTGGTCCCCAGTTGGTGGTGCTATTTGGGAAGGTCATGGAACCTGTAGGAAGGATAGCCTTACTGGAGGACTGTGTCACTGGGGGCAGGCTTTGAGAGTTCATAGCCTCATCCCACTTCCAGTCTCTGCTTCCTGCATGTGGATGGAAATGTGATCTCTCAGGTTCCTGCTCTGGCTGTCTGCTTCCATGCCTCCCCTACCAATTACGAACTCTCCCTCTGGAACTGGAAGACAAAATAAACTTCTTTCCATTAAAAACAAAACAAAACAAAACAAAACAAAACAAAACAAAACAAAACAAAATGAGCCTGTGGTGGGACACTCATTCCAGATTTAAACTGTAATATTTTGCCTCTCCCCCAAAGGCTCATGGCCATATGATAAAGCAAAATGCATTCTTTCTTATTTTGAGTCCATATAGTCTTAAGAGTTCTAACACTGTTCAAATGTCCAAAGTCTCAACTGAGATGTATGGTAACCCCTTAGCCGAGTTTCTGTAAGTAAAAAAATAAATTACATGCGGAATAGGGGCACAGCAAGGAAAAACGAGGCTAAGGCAAAGCCACAATTCAGTGGGGAAATGTCCAAACCTGTAGTTCCGTATCTGGCATTTGGAATACACAGTGGTATCATCTGAGTCCCAACAGGCTTTGGGAACCCTGCCTCCATACCCGAACCTGACATTTGCAGCAAATGAGGCTGGTGTCACTTTCCCCAGCAGATGTCCCATGATTCTTTTATTTCCAACATCCTGGTGTCTCTACTCCAACTCACATTCACAGCTTCAAGCACGGCCCTGTCAAGTGTTTTGCAGGGAATCTGACTCAACTATTTCCCTGTCAGCCTCACCAGCTTTTTGAGGGAGCCTGGGTGCAAGCCTTTATGACACCCCCAACCCTTGCACCCTGCATGCTTGCAAAACCAGCACCACATGGACAGCATCAGGTTCTGCTGCCAGCCTGACCTGGAGTCATGGCTGGGACTGTGCCCTCTTGGACCGTGGCTACAACAGACTTTTAGGCCCTACACGCTCAGCTCTTTTTAAATGAAAGCATTTCAGGGGCTGGAGAGATGGCTCAGTGGTTAAGAACACTGACTGTTTTTGCAGAAGACTTGGGTTCGAATCCCAGCACCCACTCAGCAGCTAACAACTGTCCGTAACTCCAGTTCCAGGGGATCAATGGCCTCTTCTGTCCTCTGTGGGCACTGCATGACATGAGTGCACTTACCTACATGCAGGCAATACACTCATACACATAAAATAAAAAATGAAAGGATTTCAAATAAATCTGCATATTTACATTTTGGAACCTTTAATGGGAGGGGTCTCCCCCTTCAAGCACCTTTGTTGTTCCAATCAATAATACCAAGTGCACAGTGATAATCTTTTTAACAATCACTTTGGATCCACCTTTCAATGAGTTTGCACTGTCCTAGTTTGGTTTCTGTTGCTGTGGTAAAACACTACCAAAAGCACCTTGAAGAGGAAAAGCTTATTTCAGCTTACACGTTACAGTCCAGGGCAGGAGCTCAAGGCAGAACTCTGGAAGCAGAGACCAGGGAGGAATGCTGTTTATTGGCTTGCTCAGCTACTGTTCTTATATAACCCAGGCCAACTTGCCTTAGGGATGGTTCCACCCAGTGAGCTGGGCTCTCAGATGTCAGCAATTAAGAAAATGGGGGCTGGAGAGATGGTTCAGTGGTTAAAAACACTGGCTGCTCTTGCAGAGGACCTGGGTTCGAATTCCACAACGACATGGAGGCTAACAACCATTGGTAACTCCAATTCCAGGGGATCCAACGCCCTCTTCTGACCTCTGTGAGCACTGCACAACATGGGTGCACTTACACACATGCACTTGCACACTTACATAAAATATACACATTGCCGGGTGTGGTGGCGCACGTCTTTAATGCCAGCCCTTGGGAGGTAGAGGCAGGTGGATCTTTGTAAGTTGGAGGCCAGCCTGGTCAACATAGTGAGTTCCAGGACAGCTTAGGCTACAAGGAGACCCTGTCTCAAAAAGATAAAAAATAAAACACACTTATACACATAAAATAAATTAAAAACACCTTACTAAAAAGTGAGGTTTCCAAACCTCTGCTTGGTCTTAAATAAAACACTAGATGATCATCTTGAATTCCTTAAAGTTAAAATAACTTTAGAGAAGATACAGAGTATCAATTCTATGGGCACCAATACCACACCTTTGCAGTTTTATTATGAAAGCTTCTGTAACAGACCCTTTAAAAGTGCCAGGTGTCCTGTGATTTCGTCTATCCGGTAGCTTCTAGAGCAGTCTTACCATGCTGCTTAGCCACAGCTGGGGAATACCAGTCACTACAGCAGGTAACAGGACATGGGGAAAAGGTTCATTTTCACATCACAGCCTCCTACATAAGCCCCCAGGATCTACTGTCTCCTTTCTTAGGCCTTGTCTGAGAAATCACCATTTTGGAATATATGTAATTCACCTTCTTGATTTAGCAGGATCAGATTACAATCAACATAATGTTGGCTCGTACATCTGAATAAGACTCTGCTAGGTAGAATCACTAGACTGGTAAAATCTGAACATACAGAGGGATGCCATTATTGTCGCTAACAAAGTAACAGATAATTTCAAGGTCTAATAATAATCACTTCTACTACATAAAACACATTTAGAATCTTATGTATACTTGAAAAATTTTGTATTTGTATGCTGTGTTAAAGACATTCTCAAACTCATAAAATTTATGTATTTTTAAAAATTATTTTTATGCCGGCGTGGTGGCACATGCCTTTAATCCCAGCACTCAGGAGGCAGAGGCAGGCAGATCTCTGTGAGTTCAAGGCCAGCCTGGTCTACATAGTGAGTTCTAGGACAGCTGGGGCTACAGGGAGACCCTGTCTCAAAAAGATCGAAAAAAAAAATTATTTTTATTTTATGTATACAAGTGTATTGCTTGCATGTATGTGCTTCCCTGTCATGAAATGCGCTTGGAGGCCAGAAGAGGGCATCAAATCTCCTGGAACTGGAGTTACAGATGGCCACCATATGGGTGCTGGGAGTCGAGCCTGGGTCCTCTGCAACAGCAGCCAGTGCTCTTAACTGCTGAGCCATCTCTCCAGCCCCATAAAATTTATATTTTCCCCATGCATATAATCTGATTACAGTTTAAGAATGAGAAAGATATTTTTTAAATATTTTATTACTTTTATTGTTATGTATATGAGTGTTAATGCTTGCATGTAGGTAACTGTGTGGTGCAATGCCCATGGAGAACAGAGGAGGCTGTCGGATTCCCTGGAACTGGAGTTACAGGCAGTTGTTAGCTTCCATGTGGGTGCTGAGATTCGAACCTGTGTCTTCTGCAAGAACACAGTGTTCTTAACCACTGAGCCATCTCTCCAGCCCCAAGAAAGACATTTTAAAGTTTTTGTTATTATTTGTGTGTCTGCATGCTTATGATGCCATGGCATACATGTAGAGGTCAGAAGATAACTCTCAGGAGCTGGTTCTCTCTTTCCACTGTGGGATCCAGAGACTGAATTCAGGTTATCAGGCTTGCACAGCAAGTACTTTTCCCCACTGAGCTATCTCACTGGCCCTTATGGTTTAACAACAAAGGTTAAGAACATCAAGTATGAGAACAGAATAGCCAGAAGTATTACTCCACTTTATTTATAATAACTAAAAACAAATATACAACAGGAATTGGCTTTTAAAAATCACAGAATCCTATTTTATACTATGCCATTAAATGGAACTGTGAACTATCATTAAAAATATGGTGACAGCACTTAATGATATGCAGAGACCTGACTCTATTTTTGTATTATCCAATGTCCTCTGGCAGTTTCCCAAACTTGTACACTTCTCCCATCCACACTCAAACTCACTTGCTTCCTGGTGTACTCAGAAGATACTCCTGCAATCTAGTCCTGCAGCATTCACCCACCAGCCAGCATATCTGCCACACATGCTCATGTCCTGTCTGAAGAACAAGAGATTCCTATCAAGACCCAGCCCTCCACTTGAGCACTAATTCTGGCCCTCTGCTCCGTCCACAGGGAGCCACACGTGACGAATACACAAGAGAGGGCTTCAACTGAGGAATCTTGTAAACTATTCCAAACCACCATTCTTGACAAGTCCTGAACAGGAATAGATTCGTCCTCTTCAAGCTACAGTAGAAAACAGAGAATAAAACACTTAGTTGCCCCCACTACCTCAACCTTCCTCCCCCACCCAAACAAAACCATACAGCAAAAGAAGACCTAAAAATCCAAAATCCAAAATGAATTAGATATTCTTCTTAGGGAAAATTAAACAGAACCCTGAATTGAAATTCAAAATTTAAGACTAGACCGAACAACAGTAGAATGGAAATAATGAAATGAGAAATGACAGAAAAAGCAAAATCGCATAAAAATGAAGACTATATTAACAATAGATTTGAATGGAGATATAAGAAATCATTTATGGCTGGGCATGGTGGTGCACACCTGTAGTACCAGCACTTGGAAAGCGGAGGCAGGTGGATCTCTGTGAGTTCAAAGCCAGCCTGGTCTACACAGTGAGTTCCAGGGCAGCTGGGGCTACAGAGTGACCCTGCCTCAAAAAGAACCCCCCAAAAAAACCATTTATGCCAGGCATGGTAGTACATGCCTTCAATCCCAGCAGGCAGAACTCTGAGTTTGAGGCCAGCTTGGTCTACATGGGGAGTTCTAGGCCAGCTTGGTCTACATGGGGAGTTCTAGGCCAGCTGGGACTACAGGGAGACCCTATCTCAAAAAGAGGAAGGGCGCTGGAGAGATAGATGACTCAGCAGTTAAGAGCACTGGCTGCTCTTACAGAGGAGCTGGGTTCCAATTCCCAGCATTCACAGGCTAACAACCATCTGTAATTCCAGTTTCAGGGGAATCTGATGCCCTCTTCTAACCTCCACAGGACTGCATGACACAGATGTACATTACATACATGCAAGCAATATAGTCATACACATAAAATAAAAATAATATTTTTAAAAACCCACTTAAACCAACACATCAATTCTGTTCCTTGGTATATACCATGGATAACTACTGCATATTTATACCAGAAAGACAAGTATAAATATTTACAGTAACAATGTATATTCACAAAAAACTGGAAATAATCTAAATGTCCATCAATATTATAAGACCCGTCTCAAAAAGAATAAAAGGATAAATGAGGGGCATAAAAATAAAATGAATAAATGAGGGGCTGGAGAGATGTCTCAGTGGTTAAGAGCACTGGCTGCTCTTGCAGAGGACCCAGGTTTGATTCCCAGCTTCTACATGGTGGCTAACAACCACCTGTAACTCCAGTTCTAGGGGATCTGATGCCCTCTTCTGATCTCCATAGGCACTGTATGACACAGGTACACTTACATACATGTAGGCAATACACTCATACATATAGAAAAATATAAATAAATAAATTGAATAAGTGATGGATACATACATGCATTTGCTTTTAAGATTTTTTATTAATTTTAATTATGTGTATGTATATTTGTCTGCATGGAGGTATGGGCAGGGGCCCTTAGAAGTCAGAGGTTTCAGATACCCTCAGAACTAGAGTTATAGGGAGTTTTGAGTTGCCTGAACTAAGTGCTGGAGACAAACTTGAATCCTCTGTAAAATGATACAAGTATTTATTTTAAAAGCTTAATAATAATCACCAATTATACTGATTGGTTTGAATTGCTAATTTGACCCAAACTAGAGCCACCTGGGAAGAAAGTCCCTCAACTGAAGAATTGTCTCTATCAGATTGGCCTGTGGGCATATCTGTGGGGAACTGTCTTGATGATGACTGCTGTGGGAGCCCACTGTGGGCAATACCGTCCCCTAGGCACTTGGCCTGGGCTGTATAGAAAAGTGAGTAGAGAGGACCAGAGAGCAAGCCAGTAAGCAGCATTCTCCCATAGTTTCTGCCTCAGTTCCTGCCCTGACTTCCCTCACTGATGGACTGTGATGTGGAAGTGTGAGCCAAATAAATAAACCTTTTTCCCCAAGTTGCTTTTGGTCCTGAGTCACAGAAATCAAACTAGGACACCAGTCAATACACTGTTAAGCATAAGCAAAACCAAACATATTGTTCAGCAAATTAAACATACTTTGTACAACTATAAAGCTCGAGAAGAAAAAATATATAAATGGCAATCGAACTCAGAAGCAGGCCACTGAAGACCCAAACATCAGGTATTTTCAATGAGGAAGGAAGGACAAAAATTCTTTATTTAAGACAGAAAAACCACTCTTAAGGCTGTTATCCCAATTTCAATACATTTCACATGGGCTAGAGAGATGGCTCAGCTGTTAAGAGCACTGGCTGCTCTTAAGAGAGGATCCAGGTTTGGTTCTCAGCACCCACATGGCAGCTAGCAACTGTTCTTAACTCAGATGCCCTATTTTGGCCTCCACAGGCATTGTATGACACAGGTGCACTTACATATATCCAGGCAAAACAGTCACACACATAAAATAAATAAACTTTAAAAGAAAATGGTAGTTTAAAAAGATGTTTCACAGAATAAAAAAGAAATATGGTTCAGTTTCCTTTTACCTTTTTAGTCTATTTACATGACTTCTTTTCAGTATCCAAGACCTAATTTGGGACAGAAAAAAAAACAACCAAACATATGATTTGCATGTATTAATGTAGGACAGGCAGGAACCCTGTCATACTCTTGTACTTTTCAAATGATTCCAGTAACATCCAACCAAATAGAACTCGTTACCACAAACAGAAATACAAAACTAATTCCACATGCACAATTTCCAAACATATTTCATATAAATGTTTGGCACAATTTCTAGCTGTACACAGTAACCTTTCCTATTTTAAACATAAAATTATCTACTAGCAAGTAAGTCTGACTTTCTAGAATTTGTAATGTTCAGGAAGCTTCTGCAACATGATGGTTTTAAGAGGCTCTTTGCGTTTTTGTACACATCTTGATTTAATTTTGAAAGACTACCCTCAACTAATCTATGGAAAAGAACGTAAGTGAATATAACTCTACAATCTTTCCTCACAAACAAAAAGAATATTTAACGAAAACACTTTGAAACTATTTGACTATTTTTTGATACAACTAAAATGCTTATCAGTTGATGGCTCTTAACTGTCCATTGGAGTCTTTATAATGGGGGGGCTTACTGTTTCTATTACTTGCTTTGATTTTCTTTGTTTAACTTAGCTATTACAAATTGCTAACTAGGACTGGCTGGCAGAATGGCTCAGCACTAGCTGCCAGACCTGACAACCTGAGTTCAATCTCTGGTACCTGCATGGTGGAGAGAGAACCAACTCTTGAAAGCTGACCATCTGGCCTCCACTAGTCTGCACACACACATATTAGGAAATAAATATAATTTTTAAGTTGCTAATTATATTGAAGGTTTTAAGAATATTCTAATTCATATATACCTTCCTTTCAGCTACCATAAAAAAGTAGAAATAATTTTCCAAACCTAAGTAAATGTAAATTATCATATGCTAGCCTATGAGGCTCTCTCCTTAAAGAGTATCATCTAGAGCTGGGCATGGTGGCACCACCATTAATCCCAGCACTTGGAGGCAGAGAAGAAAGGCCAGCTGGGGCTTCAGTGAGACCCTGACTCAAAAAAGAAAAAACAAACAAAAACAGCATCTTTTCAAACTTCCAACTTTAGTCTCGACATACTTTTAAAAAGTAAAAACAAGAAGACTATAACTGTACTTACCTTAGCCAACAACTCTTGTGTTTCAGCCGTCAGTGGAGCATGAGAAAAGTTACAATTATCTCCCTGATAACATTTTGTTCCTGTGTGGTAAAACTTACAGGGGTATTCATGTAGCACAAAGGTTAAGGAAAAAAACAATGGCAATCCAACTAAAACAATCTGTTATTAATTTAGTAACTATTATCCTCTATAAAGGCCTTCCTCACTAGTGGAATTACTGAATTCTCTATTTATTTGGGTTCCCTGTAAAATGTAAAACTTTAGAACAACTTTTTTCCTTTTTGTATACCCTCATAATGGGCTACAGGTATGTTTCATACACAGATGAAAGAAATGTTTTTTGGGTTTTTTGTTTTTTTTTTTGTCTTTTTTGAAACAGGGTCTCTCTGTAGCCCCAACTGTCCTGGAACTCACTATGTAGACCAGGCTGGCCTTGAACTCACAGAGATCCACCTGCCTCTGCCTCCCAAGTGCTGGTAAAGGCGTGCACCACCACGCCCAGCTGAGAAATAAGATTTTAAAACTCTTTTGGACTGGGGTAAAAGTCAATGACAATAAACTTTACAAATCTGGATCCTTTATAAACTAGGTTTTATACAACTTTAACATTATTTTCTAGAGAAATGCTCTCTAGTTAGAATCCGAGACTCCTCTGGTGTATCTCTAAAGAAAAACAGATTCTGTGGTGACTAAAGACACTAGTACCCTAAATGCTTGTGTTTCATGTTTTCATAACATGTCTACCAACTAAAATCTAGAACTAAAGCTATTCTTTGAATTACATGTCACCCTCCATATAATACCAAATACACAAAAACAGGTAGTCCCAAATTATACAATCTCTTATCTTTCTATGTGAATACAGATTCAATTAGACAATATCACAGCAGAAATTCTGACATCTTTCTGCATTTGAATAGGTTTCGTGAACCCTCTTCCCACCCAGGCTAAGCAGGAAGGATCTTCATCTGAGAAACTTTCTAAAAGGATACTGAAAGAGAATGCCCCTCAGACCCCCTTCCTATCCTCTGAGAAATAGCTGCCCTCCGCCTAACTCTGGAAATCCCCTTCATTGTTTGAACCCTTTCCTGGTATCTGTTTATGCTGTTTATGATTTCTATGAAAATGGTCTGGGGCAGAAGAGATAGAACATTCTGCCCCAGGTGAGCTAGCCAGTGATGGTATACTTGATACATCTGTGTATGGTCTCTATGGGAATAAACTGGGGCAGAAGAGAAAGAATGTTCTGCCCCAAGTAAGACAGCCAATGGCTATATAGGTAAAGTCTCTGGAAATCAGCCCTAGATTGTTCCAAACCTTTCTTGGTTATTCTGTGTATAGTTTCTATGGACAGCCCCTGCTTTGTGGTTTTTCTTAGAAGCCTTGCGTTTTCACTGTTCGGGGTCGCAGCACAGCTCCCGAGACTGTCTGCGTCCTCAACCAGTTGGTTCCAATAAAGCGCTCCTTTTTACTGAGACTCAGTGTCCGAGTGGTCAATTTAGGGAATTTTACGGACCCCTAACATACCTTTTCTTTCTTATGAAAAACTATGTGATTAAATTACTTTGATACAAGTAGGGCTTAACTAGCATACTATTGCTACAGCAACAACCGTGGTTTCATTAAAAACCCACATCTCTAAAATGTTTATGTTAGCATCTATGAAGAGTGAGACAATCTCATGATAAAGGATATTATGTAAATACAGGCAGTTTTCTCCTTTGGTACAGTAGCCTTGCACATAATACTTACACAGCTCCTTTTTCTTCTCTATCTCTGCATCATGATCAAACTTACACTGATCTCCCTGGGCCGTAAGAAAGAACAAGCACCAGTTATTATTCTCAGTGTGAAGCCTACTAACCTTCCAATAAGCAAGTGATTCCAGAAATCTTTAATGAGTTAGCTTCTAAGCACATGACCTCTTCTGCTAATTTTTAAAAATTCTTAAACATCTTTAACACAAAGTATTTTTTCAAAGTTCCTTTTTTTTTTTTTTTTTTTTTGTCTTTTTGAAGTAGGGTCTCCCTGTAGCCCCAGCTGTCCTGCAACTCACTATGTAGACAAGGCTTGCCTTGAACTCACAAAGATCCACCTGCTTCTGCCTCCCAAGTGCTGGGACTACAGGTGTGCGCCACCATGCCCGGCTTAAAAGTTCTTTTTTAAAACATAAACTATTCCAATAAAATCCTAATTGAGGGGCCAGATAGATGGCTCAGCACTGGCTGCTCTTGCAGAGGATCCATGTTCAATTCCCAACACCTACATGGTGGGTAACAACCATCTGTGACTCCAGTTCCAGGGGATCTGACACCCTCTTCTGACCTCCACAGGCAGTGCACAACATGGGTGTACTTATACACATGCAGGCAATATACTCATACGTATAAAATAAAATCTTAAACTTTTCCTTTTTTTTTTTAAGGTAGGATCTCATTATGTACCCCTGACTGGCTGCCCTAGAACTCACTACATAGACCTTACGCATCTGGACCTCACAGAAACCCACCTGCTTCTGCCTTCCAGGTCACTAGGCCAGCCTACCTAATTGAATCTTTTCCAAGAGAAGTGTTTTTCATGCCTTAAAGGTTACGTTTTGTTTCTTTTTTAATTGTCAATTAGAAACAGCAATTTCAGTCATTTTTTATTTTTGGAAACGGGATCTCCCTCTAGCTCCAGCTGGTCTGGAACTCAGAGAGATCTGCCTGCCTCCACCTGCCAAGTGCTGGCTTTTAAAAGATTTTTGCCATAACCTCACATCTCAGTGTATCTTTGCTCACACATTCTTATACCTTAATGCATTTTCTTTCAAGAAAGTATTTGCAAACTTGCTTTCCCTTGCGCTCCACTGTGTGCTGATTGATGAAGCCCTGGCTCATTCTCACCCGAGGCTGCTTCTCTTCAGGTTCACCATCCTTTAAAAACAAAAATCCAAATGTGAGAAAAAGAAAATTACGTATTTCATTCTGTTGCACAAAATTATTTTAAACTTTTTTTTTTTTTTTGCGACAGGGTCTTCTTGTTGCCCCAGCTGACCTAGAACTCACTATGCAGATCAGGCTGGCCTCAAGCTCACAGGGATCTACCTGTCTCTGCCTCCCCAGTGCTGGGATTAAAGGAATGCACCATCACGCCAGGCAGTTCAACTATTTCTTAAATGTATTTAAAATATTTTATTCATTATTTTTATTTTATGCATATGAGTGTATGCCTGCATGTATATAAGTGCACCCCTGTCGTATAGTGCACACGCAGGACAGAAGAGGGTGTCAGATCCCCTGGAACTGGAGCTGCAGACAGCTGTTAGCCACCAGAGAAGCTATTTATTATCCCACACTGAGTACATATGTAGATCAAGGAAGAACCTTTACCAAGCAAAATCAAAGAACCAGGACTATGGGGGAGAGGGGGTTGGTGAGGCCAATGCCCAGAAATAGCCATTTTAATTTCAAGAAGGAAATCAACCCAAAAGCTGAGGGACTACAGTAAAAGCTCTGTAAGACTGTGTGGCTTTTCACCTGTCTCCAGGGACTACTTTCTCTTCTCTGCTTCCCACTCTTCTATAGTTACTGACAGTACAACACCCAGAAACTGAAGGGCTTTGTGCACATGGATTCTCAACCAACAGGGGAATCACTGAGGCTAAAAACAGGTGTTGGTGACTGATGCTGAGAGTGGAACAGCAGCAGGTAAGAAGAAAGATCAGAGCCAACAGGTAGAGATCACCAGATAACCCTGATTTGTGACACGCTCCTGTCTCTCCATTATCACCCAGCACATCTTAAAACTGAAGTAGAAGATAAAATCCACAAAGCACGGGCTAGAGAGATGGTTCAATGAAAATATAGCTGTCTTCCAATGGACCTGAGTTTGGTTCCCAGCACCCACATCAGGTGATTTATAACTTCCTGTAACTCTAGCCCCAGGAAATGTGACACCCTCTTCCAGTCTTGTGGGCACCCGTACACACACATATAAATGAGAAATAAAAATTTGGGGCTTGAGAAATGGCTCAGTATTTAAGAGTACTTGCTGTTCTTCCAGAAAAACTAGGTTGGGTTCCCAGTACCCATGTTGGGCTCACAATAGCCTGTAGTACCAGCTCCAGGAGATCTGATGCCTCCTGGCCTTTGTAGGCACCTGCACATATGTGGCAGACACACACAGACATAAACACAAATGAAAATAAATCTTTTCAAAAAAACCTTTAAACAAACAAACAAAAAAAACCCAGCAAACAAAACCTCAAAGCAGAGGCACCCTGCTCCAAGCACCTGCTCCTGTACCTTCTCTCGTGGGCCACCGTTCCTCAATAAGGCACCTGACCCTTTGCTTCCAGTACCCATCCACTTTCGCTTCATTTTCTTCTGTTTAACATTCTTGTGACCAGTTTTAGATTTTTTATTTTTCAGTTTGACAGCTAAAAACAAGAAATATTTTAATGACATAAAAGTATGACACAGTTTGAGAGCAGTTTAACCTTGTCGAAGTACACCTTAAACTAAACCAGGAAAACAATAGCTCAGTGAGGGAAGATTGGTATGATAATGACCTTTCTAGAAGCTTTGCAATTAAGAGACCAAAATACAGTTATATCCCAAATTTCTAAATGAAGTGTTGGTTGGAAGGGGGAAGCAAGACAAATCAATTCTGCAGATCATAGGCCAGAGCATTTTGAAGATGTCAGGGATTGATTGATCTAATGAGGAACTGCCACAGTATCACACACACACAAAAAAATTTCAAAGGCTTAAAATGATCTGAGGTATTAAGAGTTAGATTTTCCTTTCAAAGTATTTCATAAAGCTGAGTGTAGTGGTGCAAATCTGTAAGCCCAGCACTGGGGAGGCTGAGTTAGGAAGATCAGGAGTTTAACGCTATCCTAAGCTACATAGCAAGTTTGAAACCAGCTTGGGCTATATGAGACCCCATCTCAAAAACTCAAACCCCCCACCAACCCTAAAAGATTATCTACTAAATTTCCTAAAGATGTACTTTGAATAGAAGAAACACTTGGAGAAAACACAATAAATGGACAGCATTAAGAATCTCATTTATAACTAGGGCTGAGATGGCTCAGTGGTTAAGAGCACTGGCTGCTCTTGCAGAAGACCCAGGTTCAAGTCCCAGCACCCACATGGCAGTAACAACCATCTGTAACTCCAGTTCCAGGAGATGATAGCCTCTTCTGAGCTCATTGCACTACACGGGTACACATACACACATGTACACAATACATTCATATACACAAAAACAAAAATCCATTTTTAAAAAAAGAAATTCATTTACAATTGTCATCTGCCATCCTATCTATGGCCAAATTCCATTGTAGCAATTTAAAAGACATTTCCATGCTGAGGATGTGGTTCAGTGGTACAATGCCTTCCTCGAATGCATGAGGTGCTGGCTTCAATCTCTAGCACTTAAAAACATAAAGCTATAGCAACAGAAGACATATACGATCATCCAACCAGCCAATGCTTTAAACAGGCCCATCCTAGCCTTTATACAAGCAGAGACTAGGGACTTAGCTTTCTCCTTCCGATATAGTCATGGCCTTTGGTAGCCTACTGGCAGCTCCACAGCATCTCCTACAAACAGGGAATTTTATGTATCCTAAGATGAAGTGCATGTTTAAGAAACAAGGTGAAACATAACACCCTCGTCCAAACATGGACAACCAAGACAGCTTCTACAGATGAAATGCCAAAGTTTAGTGCTTACCCTGCTGTGCGCCTTCTGCCCCCTCCTTCTGCACAGATTCTTTAGGCAATGGTGAGGGCTGAGCAGTGCTTGCCGCTTCTTTAGCTTGTATGTACTGCTGAAGCTCTTTGGCAAAATTATCTTCAGGCTCCGGACTGCAGATTTCACTATCACTGTATGGATCATAGTCCTTACTTCTTGATTTTCGACGTGGCAAACTGTTTGGCAATGTTGAAGAGTTTCCAAAGTGCTTAAACTAAGTAAAAATCACAATTTCAATTTTCAAAACTTAGTGAGATTCAAAACAAGCTTGTTATAGAGAAAAAAAAAAAACCACAATACTGGCCATGAACTGACTGACCATTACTGCAGTTGGATAATGGGACCATGGGTTGCATATACTATTCTCTACACTCTTATACACTTGAAATTTTCCAGAATGAAAACCAAACAAGACTGGGGAGATGACTACAGTTCTGATCCCTAGCACCCAGGTAAAAATCTGGGCATGGTGGCACTCTGTAACCCTAGAAGACAGTACTAGGAGAGAGGAGACAGGCAGATTCTTGGAGGTCACTGGATAGCCAGCCACATCAGAGTTCTAGGTTCCATGAGAGACCTGTCTCAAAAATCAGATCGAGAACAACTAAGGAAGACACCCAATGTCAGCCTCTGGCCTCCACACACATGTACATACAGGTACATGTTCCCACCTGCACATACACAGAACAAACAATTTTTAAAAAGTCAAAATAAATAAGCCACGATGACATACTGATCCTTAGAGATTAATTTGAAAGAAGATTCTGAATTTGTATAAAGTACATTTACTGAATTAAAAGTCCAAACTCCCAAATCTTAATTATTTACTAGGAAGGGACTACACAATTACAGTTCTCACGTTGCATTTCCTCTTTGCAATGATTATACTTTTTTTAAAAAAACAAAATTTTAAAAATTTTATGAGTGTTATGCCTGCATGTATGTAGGTGCACCTGTGTCTTACAGTACTCACAGAGGCCAGAAGAGGGCATCAGATACCCTAGAACTGGAGTTTCAGATGGTTGTTAGCCGCCATGTGGATGCTGGGTCTCCTGCAAGAGCAGCCAGTGCTCTTAACCACTGAGCTATCTCTCCAGCACCATGATTACACTTTTTAAAGATTCTTTTAATTTCTTTTTTTTTTTTTTTTTTTGTTTTTGTGTGTATGTGTATGTGTGTGTGCCATAGCATTCATGTGGAAGTCTGAGGACAAATGGAGAGGGGGTGAGTTCTCTCTGTCCACCATATGGGTCCTAGGATTGAACTCAAGTCACCAGGCTTGGCAACAAGTGCCTTTATTGAAGAGCCACCTCAATGGCCCTGAGTATTCTTTTAAATGTTTTGATTCAACATGTCATTTCATAAGATACCAAGTTAGTAGACTGACCTACCCCAGCTGAAAATCCTCTTACCCTTGTTATATTACAGCTATCAAAGCCAACTCTTGTTCCTGTAACTCAGAGCAGCAGTGCTTGAGACTTAAGATCTACCTCATTCTCTATAATCAAGGTGACTTTCACTATTCATTCATTCATTCATTCATTCATTCATTCATTTTTGCAGTACTTGGGGATGGAACCCAGAGCCTTATACAAGGGCTACACCACTGAATTACAACCCGAGCTCCACTTACTTTTAGAACTGGCTCTCTGTTATTGAAGATATCCAAAAGGAACACAGAAATCCAAGCAAGCACCCACTATGACAGAAATGCAGGTATGACAACTAGGTCTGGAGGAGCCCGAGCTATTCATACCAGATGCCTTACACGATTTCTGTGAAGTTTATGAATATTGATGCTGGGGATATAGCTCAGTTAGCAGAATGTTTATCTAGCATTCAAGAAGCCCTAGGTTCAGTTCCCCATCGCTGCATGAACCAAGTGTGGTGGTGTACTCCTGGAATCCTAGCACTTGGGAGGTGAAGGCAGGAGGATCAGAAATTCAAAGTCATCCTCAGTTACAGAGAGTTCAAGACCAGACTGAAACACATGAGATCCTGCCTCAAAAAAAAAAAAAAAAAAAAAAAAGTTTAGCACACACAAGACCCATGCATGCTCAAACCAGACAAAACCCAGCATAAAAGAGGGGAAATGGGTATGAAGCTCCAACCTTAGCTGAGGAACTACTGGCAACCGATGACTACTGGGAAAGGGAGAATTGGTTTTCTTTAGGGAGTGACTCTAGATAGGATGACCAGGCTCCAGTGGATGGATGCACACTAAGGGACATTGGGGACACAAACTTGCCTTGATAGGCCGCAACATATATGACAGAATGCATGAAATCCCATGCAGGAGCTATAGGGAGATGTGGATAGGGGAGAGGAGCTAAATATGATCAAGCTGCATTGTATGAAATTTACAAAATTTCAATTAAAAATATTCTAAATACTTAAGCTTATTTCCTCATAAGCCAAAATAAACTGATTATGCATAGTAAAAATATTTCTTTACAAGTATTGGTTACTGGGGGCTGGAGAGATGGTTCAGCAGTTAAGAGCACTGATTGCTCCTGCAGAGGACCTGGGTTCGATTCCCAGCACCCACATGGCAGCTACGAACCATCCTTAACGCCAGTTCAGGGGAATCCAAAGCCCTCTTCTGACCTCCGCGGCACTGCACAACATGGGTGTACTCACATACATGTAGGCGATACCCTCATACACATAAAAAATAAAAATATTTTAAAAAAGAAATATTGGTTAAGATATAAGGTGTATCAAATTACATCATTACAATGAACATGTATAATGCATTTTGTACAAAAAGTTTTTTGTTTTGAGTTTTTCATTTTTCTGAGATAGGCTGGACTCAAACTCAGGGTAATCCTCCTGCCTCTGGATTACAGGCATGAGCCACTATACTTTTTTTTGTCAACCATCTTTTTTTTCTGTTTTTATAAAGTTTTATTAGAACTCAGTCACATCCATTTATTTATATACTGTTTTTGTATAACACACAAAATCAAGGAGATTCACTATTTCATACTTTACGAAAAAGTTAGCCAACTCCTATTAACAGTCTATGGTTTAAACTTTAATTTTATTTAGTGGGCAGAGATCTATGTTAAGATGTAAGACATTTACAAAAGAAAAATTATAAAACCCTTGAGACTTGAGAAATAACTCAAATAGTAAATTGCTTGTTTTGTAAGGACTTGAGTTCAATCCCTAAAACCCACATTAAAAATGAAAATCTGGGCCAGGCGTGGTGCACATGCCTTTAGTCCCAGCACTGGGAAGGCAGAGGCAGGCAGATCTGGATGTGGAGGCACACACCTATAATCCCATGCTGGGAAGGTACAGGCAAGAAAATCCCTGAGGTTTGCTTGCCAGCTAGGCAAGCTTACTCGGTGAGTTCTGGGTTCCAGACCAGTGAGAGTCACTGTCTCAAAAAAATAACAAGGCAGAGGTACCTGAGAACACCACGCAAGGCTTTCCTTTGGCCCCCACTCACACATACACATACATGCGCACACATCTCCAACCTGCACAGACACTCATACATATATAATCACACAGAATATGCTGCTGAGAAAAATTTAAGACAAAGACTGTACAATATTCTAAAGATTTCAATTCCCCTCCAAATGATTGTTTAATGAACTCCCAATGAAAAGTCTACCAGGATTTTCTGTGGTGCTGATAGACTGATTTTAAAATTATATGGATATGCAAAGGACTAAGAATAACCAAGAAACTTCTAAGAAAACAAGGTGAGAAGACTCACTTATGTAATATTAAATCATTATAAAGCTGTAGTTAACTCAGTGAGGTCTTTGGGAAGAGACACAAAATTCTGAGGATGAGAACCGAGAGTTTCTCGACATAAAAAAATACTTGATTTTGACAAAAGTGACAGTGCAAACCAGAGGGGACAAGAGAGCCCCTTACTGTTAAATCAATGGTCCTAGAACATCAGGTATGATAATGACAAAACAAATGAAAAAATGGGTTGCCCGAACCTTATAGTGATTATCAATGTCCACGTGAAAGGCAAACTATAGCTTTAGAAAGCACTAAAGGAAAATGTTTTCATTAACACAAAAAGACTAACCATATAGAAAAATATTTTTTCAAATTACTTTAAAATTATGATGTTTATTTAAAAAAAAATACCACTGGGGGAAAGAAAACTAAAATAAGCAGATATTTGCAACACACAGCACACAAGAATGACCAAAAACTATTCAGAAGAACTACAAATCAAGAAAGAAGAAGAAAAAAAAAAATCAGATAATCTCAATGACAGTAAGGAGGAAGACAAAAAGACTTGAACAGAAATGAACAAAAAGAAAATTCAAATGGGAAAGTTTATTTTAAAATTCTCCTATGGCTGGAGAGATGGCTCAAGGGTAAAAAGCATGGGCTGCTCTTTTAGAGAGGACTGGGGTTTGGGTCCCAGCACTCATATGGCAGTTAACAACAGTTTGGAACTCCAATTCCAGGGATTGCACACCCTCTTCTGGTCCCCATGGGTACTGCATGCATGTGGTACATTTACAAACATGCAAGCAAAACACTCATGCATATAAAGTTAAAATAAAAATTTAGGTGGGCATGGTGGTGCACATCTTTAATCCCAGCACTTGGGAGGTAGAGGCAGGCAGACCTTTGTGAGTTCAAGGCCAGCCTGGTCTATATAGTGAGTTCCAGAACAGCTATGGCTACAAGGAGACCCTGTCTCAAAAAAGACAAAATATTGTATAACTGTATTAATTCAACTGTGAACCTAGAAACTTGCACCCACTTATGAAAGAGATGTACTCTTGCTCTGGAGTATGTTACTGAATATGTTAAAGTTGTAGTGAAATGCTTCTTCTAATCACGTAGTTATTAAAAATTTTTTTAAATGATGATTAAAAAAATAATTCTTCAAAGCATAAAAAAAAAAATTAAAGTAGCTGAGCAAGCCAGGGAAGCAAGCCAGTAAGCAGCATTCCGCTATGGTCTCTGCTTCAATTCCAGCCTCCAAGTTTCTGACTTAGCTTCCCTTGATAATGAACTGTAACCTGTAAGGCAAATAAACCCTTTCCTCCCCTAAAAAAAAAAAAAAATTTTTTTTTCAAAAAGCTCTATATCAATAATAGTTTTGGAAATGCAGATGCGAACTAAGCAAGACTGAGATACCACTGCATTGTCATCAATGGAAAATTAGGGAACCCTCTACTAAGCACTGAGTCAGTCTTCGGAGCAACAGAAAGGTGTCTCACCTGAGGTCTTGGAATAAAAACTGGTATGACCACTTTGAAATATGGTTAAGTGTTAACATAAAGGTAAAGCAGCTCATACTTGAAGATTTAGCAGTTGCACTCGTAGGCAGATGCAGAGTGCATGTGCGGCAGGATATAAAGTGAAAAGATGCAGCAGTACTGTTCACGATCACCAAAAAGGAGAAGAAGCCCCATGTCTACTTTCAACAGAACCTGGTGTGTGCAAATGATGGACTACTGCATTACGAAAATTAATAAAGCATATACAGTATTTATGCATCTTAACTATAGTCTTAGAGATGGCCACATAAGCAATAAAACTATGAAGCCTAAGGAAGTGATTAGTGTAGAAGTTAGAACTATCTTAACACTGAGGAAGGAGACAGCAATACTTTCTTGACCTGCAGGGTTTATCTGAGTACTCTACTAAGTTAGCTATTACCCACTGGTGTAATAGTGGCATGACTATTATGGGGGTAATCAATCACCCTCTATTGGATTTTAGACCCCCTTCACAAGATGGAGTCCATATCAGACATTGTTATGAGGGCCAAGAACTTGTGACTAAACAGGTCACAGACCATAGGGGAAAACCTAATACTACCATTCTGCTAAAAAGACAGTATCAAACTGACTTATGACTTATTGTTATACTCATTGATTAGTGCATCTCTCACTCTCACCAAAGTTCTTTTTATAGCAGATGGCAATTAACACAAAGCCCCACAACTGGTCAATGTGCAGAGAACAAGAGACTGCAGAGTGCTCAGCCCTAAATTGCACCCTCTCCTCCCAAGGCTCAGAGATCACCGCAGAAGAGGTGGCAGAAAGATTCTAAGAACCAGAAGTGGTAGATGAACACAAGGAAACTGTGTTGCCAGGACACGACAGGGTTGTTACACATATGAACCCATTACACTTAAAACAGCATGCACAACTTAAACCAGACAGGGGTTCAGCATGGATTGGAGAGGTGGGCAGGAAGCCTCAGTCCTATGTAAAGATCTATTTTCCTTATGGGTGTGACATCTGGTTAAGTTGACCAGTCTTCAAGTGATAGACCCACACTTGAAAGCCCTTGGGCATAGATTAGAGTTGATAGGTCTCAAAAAAATAAAAAAAACAGGCTGGAGAGATGGCTCAGCAGTTAAGAGCACTGGCTGCTCTTGCAGAGGACCCAGGTTCAATTCCCAGCAACCACTTGCTGGCTAACAACACTTGGTAGGTAACTCCAGTTCCAGGGATTTAATGCCCTCTTCTAACCTCTATGGGCACTGCATGACATGGGTGCACTTAGAAACATGTAAGCAATATGCTCATACATATGTTTTTTTTTAACTAAAAAAAAAAAGAATACGGGACATGAAGAGGAAGAGGGTAGTAAGGTGGGGGGGGGGGTCTATGATGACAATACACCATACAAAATTCTTGAATCAATATATAATAAAAGTAGGCCATAGTTGGACATGGTGGCTTTAATCCCAGCAGAGGCAGGCAAATCTGAGATCAAGGCAAGTCTGGTCTAAATAGCAAGTTCCAGGCCAGCTGGGGCCATAGGGAGTCCCTGCCTCAAAAAGACAAAAAAAAAAAATTAGCCATAAACCAACACATATTTATATTTTGCATTTTAGTGGCTAAGAGCCTGAGCTGAAACAGTTTTGCTTGGGGTAACCTAGGTGTCCACTTTTTCATATAACTTTCTTGGAAACAACTTAAGATATACCACTTTATCTGCTATAGGGAGTAGTATACAGGTTGTGGAGGTCTGTGGGCATGCAAAATTGGGGCCTGTGTGACTAAAGTGGTGTAAAAACTAGGATAATGAAACTGCAGTTTCTTTATATCCACCTCAGCTCTTATGCATAGTAGCCACACATGCTCTAAGGAGCAAAGAAGTATCTGTTTGGGTAGCTGAGAGCCTTCCCCAGGAGATAAAGGTACTGTGCCTGCTATGTCTCCTGGATCCTTTTATAAAGCCTGTCTTTGCATTACAAGTTTCACTGCCAATACGAACCCATTATTACAGAGTACGCTAAAACTTACCACCTCCCAAAAATCTTCAAAAAGAAAGGCAAGGAGATAAGGGATGGCTCAGAGGTTTAGAGCATTTGCTGCTCTTACAGACGACCCAAGTTCATTTTCCATCTCCCACATCCTGGCTCACAACTGTAATAGGTCCTTTGGATCTGATGCCCTTTCCTGGCCTCCACAGCACCAGGCAGGCATGTGATACACATGCATACATGAAACCAAATACTCATACACATAAAATAAAAATAAATTTTAAATAATACTGCTTTTTTTCTTTTAAGGCAAGACAGAAGCATATATTGGTTTTGTGATGGACTGAACTTGAGTCCTCCTCAAATTCCATATATAAGTCCTATATATAAGTCCTATCCCTCAGTACCTCAGAATGTGGCCTATTTAGTAATTGGGCCATTAGGTCATCAATTAGGTGGGCACTAGTCCAGTATGACTAGAGTCTTTATAAAAAGGAGCTCTTTGGGGTCTGGAGAGCTCAGCAGTTAAGAACACTGGTTGTTCATGCAGAAGACCCGGGTTCGAATCCCAGCACCCACATGGCAGCTAACAACTGTCTATAACTCCAGTCCCAAGGGATCCGACAGCCTCTTCTGACCTCTGTGGGCACTGCACGACACAGGTGCACTTACCTACATGCAGGCAATACACACATACACATAAAATAAAAAAATAAATAAATAAAATTAATAAAAAGGAGCTCTTTGGACAGACACAGGCACACAGGAGAATGCCATGAGAACATGAAGGCAGAGGTTGGGATGTGTCCAAAGATCACCAGAGAGGCCTGGAACAGCTTCTTCCTCACAGACCCCCGCCAACCACAGATCATGCCTTTGTGTTGCTGATACTCCAAAGTTGTTACGGTAGCCTAGCACATAATTCAGGTTTTAAGTTAACTACTACTAAGGCTGATTAAGTTAGAAGTCAAAACTCATATTTTATATCTAATTTGAAAAGGAAAAAGTATTCAAAACAGTTTATAATCCATTTTAGGAACAAGGCAATTAACCTTGTTGCAACACTGGCACAACCTGATGTGGAGGGGAAAGTTCATGTTAAACGGTAAGATACTGAAAGATTAACTTCTTTCAAAAGTGTAACCAAGTTTCCTTGACCTAAGTAACAGGTCCCAAAAGCTGACTAAATGAGACACACAGGACTCTACTTTCTCACATTCATTCGTAGCTGTTTGTTCAACATGCCAACTGAACCTTACTTTTTTGGGAGTTTGCTCACAGGCCCGCTTAACTTTCCATTTTATTTTCTTTCTCTGTGTTTCTTCAACTTCAGTACCATCTACTTCATCAGTGATTCTGCAGCAAAAATATCAAATAACACAAAAGATTTTTTTTAACCTGAAAAGGGTTCACTGCACAGCATTAAAATTCACTGCTTGGGTTTGTCTTCAAAGAAATTTCAAATTCAAAGTCTACTACAAATACTCTACAATAATAATACAAAATGATCAGTAAATGTCAATGTGCATAAATAACCTGGAAAACTGAAAGTTTCTATAAACTTAACATTGAATAATTAGCAAGTATATAAATCACCCATTCATGTATCATTCCATTCACTCAATACATACTGAGTATTCACCACATGCCTGTCTCTGGCCTCACATCCTCCAGAGGATAAAAAAATTTAAAAATGACAAGCCAGTCCCTGACTCCTGTAAGCTTTCTGTTTGGGAGAAAAATATAAAGCATAAAGTAATATATAAAGTAAATATAAAGTAACTTCAATATTGTGTGTAAATATAGGTACATATACAGGGAACACAAGTTAGGTTTGAGGTCAGAGGCTTTCTAAATAGAATATATGTAAGAGTTAGCAAAACATAAAGAAATGTAAGGCTATCTCAGCTACAATGCAGGATGCCTTCTGAGGTTAGGAGACAATATGAAGAGGAAAATATGTTTTCAGAATAGGGCATGAGAAGTTGATTGTGCATAGATAATTACTGGACATACTCCAGCCAACCTAAAAATGAGCCCAGAGAAAGATGAAGGGATGGAAAAAAAAATCAAAGTCTGGTAAAGTGTGTGCCCTAAACTACATGCTATCATTCCACATTGCCCACTCCACTTTCACCACCCACTAGGAACTATGATTCAATGTCCTTTTATTTCCTGACCTATGGCAGGGAGAGGACAGGGATCACCTCTTCACAGGAAGTCAGCTTCGGCCATACTGAGCATCTATCTCTGTTTCTTCTTCCCTCCTGCAGCTGCTGCTTTTTATTTATTTATTTTTTAAGGATGGGGCCTCACTATTAGCTGTGGCTGGCTGGTACTTCTTATGTAGACCAGGAGGGACCAGAACTCAGAGAGATCCACCTACCTTGCCTCCTGAGTGCTGGAATTAAAAGTTTTGTGCCACCACACCCAACACAAAAACACTTTTTAATGTGCTGAAAACCCTACATGCAAAAATGAGATAAATCGAGAAAAAAAATAGAGATCTTAAAATTTCAAAGAAAAAGATGTAGAGGCAAAGTGCAAAGCAGGTGGATGACTAGGCAGACACCTCACCTTTATACCCACACCAGTCCTTCGGGACTTTTGGAAAATTCAAGTGTCGCTTATCTTGGGTACTTGAGTTAAACTTTAGTAAATGTATATTTTGTCTAATATATTTTCAAACTGTTACATCTTGCTCAATTCTCACAAATGGTTTCTCTTGTTGGTCTTAGACGTTATCACTTGTATATAATTCCTTTTCAGTATCTACAGGACTTTAGTAATTCTGCTTTAGAAGCTGTAATGAAAACGTGTCTCGATGTCACACTCTCTGTGAAGCCCAATCCTAGCCCTACTACTTACACTGCACATTCTTGGCAAGTTATTTAAACTTTCCGTACCTCAATTTTCTCCTCTGTAACACGAGGATAACGTCATTTTCTCTTTACGGTTATTGTGAGAATTAAATGACGTTTCAGGTAAAGCACGCACTACCGCTGTCGATGATAACCAGGATTAAGGTAATAGTTTCCACTAAGGTATTTGAGAAAGAAGTGGACAGGCATGAGGACATGGGCAGATTTTTTTTTTTAAGCACTGGAACTATAAATATAAAACAGGGTCTCACTATGTAACTCTGGCTGGACTGGAACCGGCTATTGTAGACCAGGCTGGCCTGGAATTCAGAGATCCGCCTGCCTCTGCTGGGATTAAAGGCACGTGCTCGCCACCATTCTGAAATGGTGGGGCCGGGCCCACACTGAAAATGTTAGGAGAGAAACTGGTAAAGGATGCGTGTCAAGGCTTCCACGTAGGGAGAATGGGAACAGAAGACAAAGGTTTAGGAGAAAAAACTATAAAGACTATTCTTTTAGCACTACAAACTCAAAAGACTAAAAAGTGAGTAACTGGATGGGAACAACCCAACCACACACACCTCTCAGAATGAGATGGGTAAATCTGGCCAGCGCTCTCACACGCTTTTCCAACGGAACACAAGTGCTAAACCGGAATGGTGTCTGTTGCTTTATTAACGGTACAGGGATCACCGGCAGGGTGGTCACTACGCATCCTCGACACGCTCATGATCCCCACCGGCTCTGCCTCCAGGGCCCGAGTTTGCAGGAAACAGGTGGAGTAGAAGGGCGGGCAGGTGCGCGCGGTCCTCCCGGGTCCCGCGGGGCTGAGCACCCGGGCGCGGCCCCTCCTCCCTCCTCCGTCCTCCCCTGCTTCCGCAGGGCTCAGCATCCCGCGACCCGCAGTTCCCACGCCCTCTCCACCCCGACCCCACGCGCTACCCAGGCCCCAGAAGCAGCGAGTCCCCGGGGACCCTGCCGGGATGAAAACATGTGGGATCACCTTTCCTCAGAGTCCGCCGCCGGTTTTTTGCCGAGGGCCGGATTAGGGGGGTTTGAGAAAAGATTTTCAAAGTCCATGACTCAGGCAAGCGGCTCCCCGACTCAGCGAACCTTCAGAGTAACACAGAGAATTGAGGAACCCAGAGTCGCGCCAAAGGCCGCAGGCTCCGCCCCGCGCACGCGCGCGCGCACGCGCACCCGAAGCGCCAGCCCGCGATTCCGGGCACGCAGGGACCGGACCTCCCACCCCGCGCTGCGCACTGCGCACGCGCTGTCCTCACGGCGACCCTGTCCGCGGTGCGCACGCGCTGCTCACATTGCCAGCGCCTCTTCACGGTTTGTGCTGCATGTTTGGGGCAGGCCCGAGCACTCTTTCCCAAGCATCAGTCTAGTGAGATTTTTAAACCTAATCCTTAGGATTCGTATTTCTTTCCCTTTGGTGGAAGCCTGACCGCCATCACAATGTTTCTAAGGATTGGGGCATATCAAACATTGACTTGAGCCTTTCAGAATCATTACCTAAAAACGTCTCAAATTTTAGTTTACCTAATTCTTGTGACTGTATTGTAAGGTAGGTTCTGCCACCACCAGCAACATTTATTTGCCAGGGGAGTAAACAGAATTGCTGGCAGATAATAGCACTTAAACAGGCTCTACAACAGAAAAATAAATATAGAAATATATTTGAGGCGTGCAAGTTCGTTACAAAGAACCAAGTGTTGGGGGCGGCGTGTAGCAGAGCCTGTGGGACAGCTTCCTGAGAGGGTTGAGCTCAGTCTTGAGAATTTCCAGAGGAAGGGATGGTTAGGTGTAAACAGGTCCCAGGTAGAATTGTAAAGGCCGAACAATAGATCAAGTTGGGAAAAATAGGAAATTGTTCAATGGAGACGAATAGTAGAAAGAAAATCTCTTACTATCGATTGGGCCAGACAGAAAACCTAACGATTCTGTAATTGCAGGAACTGATTGCTAGCATAGGCAAGTGAAGAAAAATATTTAAAGTCAGACTTGGTCTGGAGGGAAATTTTACTTGTCCAGTTTTTTATAGTATAAACAATCATTTTGTACTTGAATTATTACTAAAAGAGAGAAAAGGAGTTTTTAATAACAAGTTTTTATAACTAGTGATATTCATTCTTTAGAGGAAAGAGATTATAAAACTCAAATTATTACCACACAGACTTTTTCATGTATTTAAAAAAATACCCAAAGGCCTCCCAGCATTTGGCAGAGGCAGTCAGATCTTTGAGCCTGAGGCTAGCCTGTTTCACATAGCAAATTCCAGGCCAGTCAGAGCTACATAGTGAGACCCTGTCTCAAAAAACTCAAAACAAACCAAAACAAACGAAATGCCCTGAATGTGGGCTGGTGAGATGACTCATAAAGATGATTGCCTGACAACCTGAATTTGGATCTTTGGAGCCCACATGGTAGAAGGAAAGAACCAACTCCTGAAAGTTGTCTTCTGACTTCCACAAGAGGTGACTTCACACACACACAAATAAATTTGATAAAGATTTTTTGGTTCTTTTGAGACAGAGTCTCACTATGTAATTCTGGCTGGCCTGAAATTCTCTGTTTCTCAAACTCACAGAGACCTTACCTGTCTCTGCCTCCTGAGTGCTGGGATTAAAGGCTTGGGCCACTACACCTGGCTTTTTTTTTTTTTTTTGAGATTTATTATTTCAGTTATGTGTACATGCATGTCTCTGTCTGTGCCTGTGTCTGTGTGTGTGTGTGTGTGTGTACCTTCAGAAGCTAGAAAAGGATGTTGCATCCCCGGGAGCTGGAATTACAGGCAGTTGTAAGCCTCCCAATGTGGGTGCTAGGAACAGAACTCAAAGCCTCTGCAAGAGCAGTCCCCACTTTTAAGTGCTGAGTCATCTCTCCAGTCCCAACTACTAAGCTTTTAAAAAAATCTATTTTTCAGCAGTATCTATCGGATAAAAAGAAAATTATACAAATCCTATAGAATTGGAAAAAAACCATGTAAAACTTCTAAAAATAAAAATAATACCTCCGCGGGTATTGCACGACACAGGTGCACTAACCTACATGCAGGCACTACACTCATACACATAAAATAAAAACAATAAAATATATAAAAAGGTAATACTGAAATTAAAAAATCAATGAATAGTGTGGTAGATTCAAAATGTACTCACAAATTCTTTAACATTTCTCCCTTCAAAAGCTGAAGCCATAGTTCCCTTTCTTTAAATGTAGTCTGGACTTACTGATTAACTTATAACAAATACGTGTGGCAAAGTGATGTACAGGATTCCAGAAACAAAGTCACAAATGCATTACAATTTCATCCTCAGTCTCTTGAATCATTTGCCTAAAGGGAAGCCAGTCACCATGTCATGAAACACTCTTGCCTCCTCTGTGAGCAAGACAATCTACTTCTCTCAGTGTTAGATGAGCCAGAAGACATACTGACTCCAATGTCTGAGAGAAAGAGACAAGAAATCACCCAGCTAAGCAACTTTTTGATTCCTGACCCTCTGAGAATACAAAAAGGTCAATGCTTATTTTAAATTTCTAAAAAATTCTATTTATTTTAAATATTTTAATTTTATTTTTTTTAATTTTATATGTATGAGGTTTTTGCCTACATTTATGTAAGTGCACCACATGCATGCAATACCCATGTATGCCAGAAGAGGGTGTCATATCTGGAACTGAAGTTATAAATGGTTTTGGCTGCCATATGGGTGCTGGGAAGCAAACTCGGGTCCTTTGGAAGAGTAGCTGGTGCTCTTAAATGCTGAGTCATTTTTCCAGGTCCAGAAGATTTTATTTTAAACTCTGTGTGCATGTGTGTGTCTGTATGAGGGAATGTTCATGTGAATGCAAGTGCCCACAGAGGTCAGAAGAGGGTATTGAATCCCTCGGAGCTGGAGTTACAGGTGGTTATGAGCATCCAGAAGTGGGAGCTGGGGAAAAAATTGAGGTCCTCTGCAAGAGCAGTACATGTTCCTAACTACCAAGCCATCTCCCCAGCCCTTTTATTTATTCATTCATTTATATTATTTTTAATTTTATGCATATGAGTGTATTGCCCACATGTATGTAGGTGCACCTGTGGTGTGCAATGCCCTCAGAGGTCAGAAGAGGGGGTCAGATTCCCCTGGAACTGGAGTTACAGTTGTTAGCTGCCATGTTGGTGCTGAGAACCAAACTCTGGTCCTCTGTAAGAGCAGCTAGTGCTCTTAACCACTGAGCCATCTCTCCAGCACCCCCTTTTATTTTAAAATGTATTGTCATTGTGTGTTTATGTGTGTGCATCCAGGCATGTGCACACACAGATACATGCATTTCATGGCACATGTGTGGGGGTGATAGGATAAGTTTTGGGAATCGGTTCTCTTCTTCTACCATGGGTTCCAGGGATCAAACTCAAGTCATCAGGTTTGAACACCACAAGTTTTTTTTATCTACTGAGTGATTTCACTGGCCCCAATGCTTGTTTTTAAAAGTTTAGAGACAATTTACAGCAATAGGTTGTGATGTTCCCTATAATTGCAAACAGTTGACCTAAACATAAATCATAATACTAAGCAATTCCAATCTTGAGTATATAAACAAGAATTTTAAAACAAGGACTGAAATATGTTTATACATTCAGGTTCCTTGCAGTATTATGCATAATAGCCAAAGGGTGGGAACAACTCCAGCATCCATCCATTGATGAATGAATAAACAGAAGTAGTATAGACATGCAGTGGAATATTATTTATAGAGGAAAATGAATACATGCGATATACTACATCATGATTGAACTTTAAAAATAGTATGGTGAGACTGGGAAGATAGCCTGATCAGTCAAGTAAGTGACTGTCATGCAAGCATGAGGACTCGAGTTCGACCCCCAACATCCACTTAAAAAAAAAAGCCGGATGTAGTGGTGAGCACTAGTAAGTTCTCAATGCTGGGGATCTGGAGACAGGTGGAGCCTTGAAGCTTGCTAGACAACCGGCTTTGTCTAATCAGTGAGCCCCAGGTTCCAGTGGGAGACCCTGCCTCCAAAACAAGGCAGATGGCTTCTGAAGAATGCCACCTGAGGTTGACCTCTGACCTCTACACACGTGCACCTTTTCACACATCCACACACAGAAACAAAACCCCAAAACCAGTTGGGCATTACTATGCTGACATTATAATTACATGAATATGAAAACTTAGTTTTAAGAGTGGGCATGAACTCAAAGAACACTGTTTCCTCTAGGTAGTTCTCAGAACCATCTGTCACATGGAACTGTGCTGATGAAACCTTTTGTCTCTGGAACTGTTTTTGCATGTCTGGCCCCACCCTTAATTGTATTCAAAATAGTTTCTCCAGCTTAAACTGGGGAAGCACAAACTTGACTCCACCCTAATCTTAACAGACCATCTGGCCTTTTCATCCATAGTTCTAGAATCAAGGTCAGTCATCCTTCCCAACCTCCACAGAGTGTAAAGGAGATGGGCATCACCTTTCAGCACTTTGCTATGTTAATTCTTAAGCACACACACATTCATTCCCTCATTATCTTTTTGTAGGGTAGAGTACCAATTTGAGGTTTCCTAGGAAACATCAGGTGCCAAGGTCACAAGATTCAAGAGCACATGGTTTTGCTGGGGTCAATTAAAAGTCATTAGTTCAGATTTTTCCTATTTATAAAAGTCACAACCAGTATGGCCATGTGTGATGACACATGCCTATAATCCTAGAACTTGGGAGGTGGAAGCAGGATCAAGAGTTAAAGGCCTGAGGTGGGCCTGGTGGGGAACACCTTTAATCCCAGCACTCCAGAAGCAGAGGCAGTTGGATCTCTAGAGGTCAGCCTGGCCTACATAGTGAGTTCCAGGCCAGCTGGGGCTACAGAGAGACCCTGTCTCAAAATAAGTAAATAAGTAAATAAATAAATAAATAACAAAGAGTTGAAGGCCAGCCTTGGCTACATAGTAACTTTGATGCCATCCTGGGTTACATGAGATGCTGTCATAACCCTTTATCCCAAAAATAAATCACTATGCTAAATTATGAGGTAAGCCCAAACTTAAAAGGACAAATATCATGTAATTCCATTCATGAGATATCTAGAATAGGCAAATTTATAGAAACAGATAGTAAATTAGGAGTTTCCAAGTATTGAAGGGGGGGGGAATGGGAAATTATCCCTTAATATTTACAGAGTTTTATTTGGGTGAT